TCTTTCTTTCTTTCTTTCTTTCTTTCTTTCTTTCTTTCTTTCTTTCTTTCTTTCTTTCTTTCTTTCTTTCTTTCTTTCTTTCTCTCTCATCCTGTCTCTCCCCTTTTTCTTTTTCCGTTTTCTCTTTCTTTTCTTTCTTGTCTCTTCCTTCTCTCTTTCTCTTTCTCCCCCTCTCTTTCCTCCCTCTCTTCCCCCCCTCCTCCCCCCCCCTCACTCACTCACACACAAACACACGGTCTGGGATGAACTGTGATCCAGCGAGTCCAGTCAGCAATGGGGGGCAGGAAAAGGAAGAAAGTGGGGAGGAGGGAGTGGTGTGTGGCTGCAGCAGGGCCTTGAGCACCCCCCACCCCAGCCCTCCCAAAGCACCTCCGCAGGTGGCAGAGGTGGCAAACCTGGCTGCCTCCCGTTTTGCCCCAGGGAGAAGCGGGCAGAGGCAGCGGAGACACTGTGGTGATGGCCCTGCTTATGAGCGGCAGCCGGGTCCACCGCCCAACCGGTTGGAACACTGCTATGTGGTAGGGAGAGCTGGGAGAGTGCTGCATGGCGGCTTAGCCAGCCAGCTGAGCCCGGGGATGTTGGGGGGGGCAGCTAGGTAGATTGGGCGAGGCCCGGGGAGCCCTGGGGACAGTGGGGGAAGGGCTAGCACAACTTGCAGGCTTACCTGCGAGTAGGCAGATCAGTGGAGAGGCTCATGTCGGCTCCGGGCTGCTTCTCTCACCTGCTCTTGCTGGGAGAGCCTCTCCTGGCAGAGCAAAAGGCTTGCAAGCCCCCCTCCCTTCGGGAACCGGCTCCTGGGCAGCAGAGAGAAACAGGATTCAACCAGGCTGCTTCTCTGATGCCCAGCAGCCGTTTCCCGAAGGGAGGGGAGCTTGCAAGCTTTTCGCTCTGCCACAGCGAAAGGCCGGCAGCAATGGCTGGCCTGGTGGGCAAAAGCAGGCTGCAGGCATGTCGCACATGTGCATGATGTTGCGCATGTGCAATAGGGACTGACTGGGCAGGGAGCGGAGAAGCAGGCTGAGAGGGGCGGGGCCAGCCAGGGCGCCGTTTTACCGGTTCTCTGAACAACTGGGAACTGTAACAACCGGTTCTATAGAACTGGGCTGAACCGGTAGAATCCCATCCCTGCGTGGAAAGCAGTTCTAGGAAGTCAGTGGGAAAACTGTGAAGGGTTGATACATGTTTTTCTCTCTACAAAGGGGGGAAAAACCCCAGTTTGCATTTCTTCAGTAAAGGACACAAAGCTTAAGTAGACTAGAAAAGTGTGTTTTAATCCTTCCGTAGGTATGGAAACTGGCTGGTGGCTTTGGGTCAGTCCCTCTCTCTGCATTGAGAGTTGAAGGATCCCAATCAAAGCATCTCAAAGCATAAACTTCCAGCTGCCCCGGAAGAGCCCCAGGCAGAGGAAGGGGGCCCCTCCTTTTGGCGATTGATGCCTTTTTTACCTCTTCTTAACATTGGGATTTTTTTTCAACAAGCAGATGACTTTATTGTAACTGAAATCCATTATTCTGTACTCAGATATCTTGATCATCTTTTGTGCAATACCTGAAGATGGTCACATTGTCATCTCTGGCAATATTTCCTCATCAGATACAGTTTCTAGTCCCTATTTATTCAACAAAAGAGGGAAAAAGGAATTCAGCTCTCAAAAAAATGAAATTGAGAGTGGTCCAAATGGATTCATTAGCCTTTTTTCCTCAACTCATAGCAAAACGCAGTGACTAAGAATAGAAAATTAATACAGATGCTACATCTCTGGTCAAATTCTTTGCTGGAGGTAGAACTTTGCCTTGATACCTCCTTCCCCCAATTGCCTTTTAAAAAATTTTCTGCCACTCTATAACAGCATTAACAAGCAAACAGTTCTGAATTCTTTGGGATTTTTGTTTTAAATCTGGAGACATTGATGAGATACTGAACTTTTTTTAAAAAAAGATCTGTAATATATTCTCTAGCAGCTAGTGATAAGAATGTACAATTATTCTTTACATTTGTTTACATCTGCCCACTGTAAGTGCCCTCTAAGCAGCTCTCTATAGGGGAAAGGCATTTGCAGAGCAGGCACCCAAGAACTGACCCCTTCTAAGGCATGAGAGGGCAGGCTGCCCCTGCCCCAATGCCACTTGCAGTCATATTAGAAATTGGGGTATATATATATATTAAATCTTATAACATTCCAATTTAATTATAGAGTTTAATGGGCTATTGTGTTGATGTTATTATAGATTTATTATTGTAGCATTTGTTTTTGAAGTAGTTGTGCTTTTAAAGTTGTAGCAACGTTTCGGCAGAATCTCATCTGCCA